TTGCTAGAAATGCAGAATCTTAGACCCTGTCCTGAACCAGCCTCATCAGAATGTGCAGTTTAACAAGATGCTTAGTGAGTTCATGCCCACAAACGCTGGGGAAGCCTGGTCCCAATGAGATGCCTGAGCCTGTCTGTACCCAGTGTTCGTCCAGTCTCCATAAACCTAACTCCCCAAAGCCACTTGTCCCAGTATCAAATAGTTCTATTACAAAGTTTTTCTTTATGTTTTATGTTTATGATTTTACAGTTCCCAGTTCTGCCTCTTGGGCACATACAAGAAACAAATTCTCTTCCTTCTGGCAAGCAGCAGGGAACGAGGACAGGGTGTTGGTAGCCATCAGAAGACCCAATAATGACATGCAATTCCTTTGCTTTCTGAGCAGGTCTCAGGGCACAGGCCAACTCGGAGACAACTGTAATCCAGTTCCAGCCAAAGAGGAGCGCTAACACCAACCAACAAACAGGACCTTCCTGCTCCGCTCCGAGCTCCACTTCTTTCTTGGGGAAGTCATCTCACTGCTACTTCTCACTACATACATAACATCCTTTACTGGAGGGCAGTCCCCAGAGACACCGAGCCTGTGCTCATGAGGAAGCCACAAGCTGGTCAGCAGTCTATGCTTAGGCTATAATACTGCTTTCCAGTCTGTCTGTCTTTGGTTTATTAGAGTATATGTCTGTCTCCCCAAGGAAACCACAAACTCTTTGAGGATGAGGGATTGTGTCTGGTGCATAGCAGATGCTCAATAAATATTACTGAATTAATCTGAATTGAAATATGGTAGTCCTCAGGAATTCAGACTATTTTCTAATAACAAAGTGGTAGGTTAAAAATAATTAATTTTCCTAATATGGGACGCTTTCTGCAATTTACAATTAACCCATTCATTTGACCAATGTTTGCTATGTGCCAGACACTTAAATGCCAAGGTAATTATAAAGATGAATAAGACTCTCCCTGTCCTGGGGCGCCTGGGTGGCTTAGTGGGTTAAAGCCTCTGCTTTCGGCTCAGGTCATGATCCCAGGGTCCTGGGATCGAGCCCCACGTAGGGCTCTCTGCTCAGCAGGGAGCCTGCTTCCCCTTCTCTCTCTGCCTGCCTCTCTGCCTACTTGTGATCTCTCTCTGTCAAATAAATAAATAAAATCTTAAAAAAAAAAAGACTCTCCCTGTCCTTCAAGAAACCCACCATCTAGTTACAGAAGAAGAGACACAAATAAATTACTTAATATAATGTGTATGTGCAATTGTAGGGATACAGGAAATTGTTATGGATTCTCAGGAGAATAGCTAGCTCTACCCAGAAGTAAGAAAATAGCATTTAACATAATAATAATGAAGGTTGGTCTAATATTTTTTCTCTTCAAAGTACACATTAGCTCATTTAATCTTTATAGGAAACCTACGAGTAGATGCAATTATCCCTGTGAAAAATGAGAAAACTGAGATTCAGAGAGTATAAGGAAAAAAGAGAGAGAGAAAGAGGGAGTGTGCGTAAGAAACTAGCCCATGACTGCACAGCTAGGAATTAGCAGAGTGAAGACTTGAACTCAGATCTACAATTTCTAAATTCCAAGACAATCCTCACCCTTTTTTAAAAAAAATGATATTGCCAAGTTTTACACTTCGTTTTCTTTGCAATGCAGCTGATGGCTATACATGATATAAAAACAGGGTAACTGGGTAACCATTTAGAATGAGCGGGGTAGAGGGTATGGCAAGATCAGCCACCTGCCTGGTCCTTCTATGTCACTGTTCATTGCTTTCTGTCCCTGGTTCAACCTTTCTTCCTGCTCTCCAATCTTAGAATTCATGTTCTAATAAGACCAAGAAAAAGACTCTAAGCATAAGAGAAAGGAATTCTTTTCTCACTTGACAGAAGATCTGAGCGGGCAAAGAAAGCCATGGAGAACATTATTTTAGTGTAATGATGCCAAATGGCATTTGGACACTCAAGATTCCCTCCCCACCATCTGGTCTAAAATGGCCTTTCCGATCTTATTTCCCTTTTTACTGCATGGGAAAGACATTTTACTTGGATGCTAGATCATCATAAGATAAGTACCATATTGAATCAATCTTTTTCCTGAAAATCCTTTAAATTCCCCCAAAGTTCAGCTTTCACCACCAGAAGCAGAGACCCCAGGACCCATTGTGGACATGATGTCTTCTGTCTCATGCTCACCGCAGGATTGACACTCTTCAAGTATGATAGCCTGCATTCTTTTTGGTTCTTCTTTCTAACCAGATTATATGTGGGTTTGGGTTTCAACACAGGTGTAACGCAACACTGCTTACTTGTTCTCCCCAAAGGTGCTGAAGCCTTTGTGATGCTATTTTCTTGATCTGGAATGTCCTTCCTCTGCATCTTCCCATGGCTACACCCTACCTCCTTGGGAACCCATACATGACCGGTGTCTCTACCTTTCTCTGCCTGAAAAAAGTGAACAGTAATCTGGACTTCCCCTGCACCAAATCTATTGCTTTTAAGGACCTGGACGCTAACTGTCACACATTAAGTTCATTGCATCCCTAATCACACATGACTTTCTAGAAGGTTCTACCCTTTCTAATAGTAGAATTGATGCATGGCTTATCTTTGCATCCTGAGAGACTGACACCAGCCCTGACATATGGTAGGCCCTCAATATTTAGTTAATGAATGGATACTTATAAAATGGTAATTCCACACTAACTTTCTGTTTGGGGGGGGTCTTCTTATGCATGAAACATAATGAACTGTTGCCAGACCTCACCTCACCAGGATCCCATCAGAAGCAAAGCATTTCTGTTGCTCCCATGTCAGGGATGGGGTACGGGTGAAAGAAGACAGGGCAGATAAACTGGGGACTTAAAAACATTTGATAACCACAACTGTGGGGCATGGGAGTGATCTGAAACAAACCATTTCCTGCCCCACCTCACCACCGAGTTTTTCACAAGGAGGCCTAGAGACAGGTGGAAGAGGCAGATAAAAAGAAGTAGAAAACACAAGCCATGTGTGTGTGCCAACTTTTAATACTTCCCAGATTCTTAATAATTTCCCTGGAAAAGAGATTGGCTAAACTTCTAACAGCCTGTTTCCTTTTCATGATTCTTCCCTGTGGTTTAGGAGCAGATAATTTGGGGATGAGTTTTCTGATGCCAGGAGCCCAGCTGATCAGAGCCCCACCATCACCTGGGACCATCAGCGGAGCTTATTCCAAAGTCAGGATTTCCTGGGAGGCCATAGTCAATTGGAAACGAAGATCTGCAACAATGCACACTGGTGTTTTCCGGACGTCCCCTTTCCTGCCCTTTCCTGATGCTTTCATACGTTTCAAACCCCCTCCCAACCAGCAAATCACAAAGCACTGCAACGTGCGGAAAAGAGAGAAGAGGAGCTTATTTTTCCTGTGGGCATTCCCCACAGCACCTAGGATAGCTCTGCACAGGCTACCAAGATCAAGGGCAGGGACCAGGACTACCCCGTGAAGGACGGGGCCCCTGGTGCCTTAGTGCCGGGTGAGTGCAGCTTCATTTCTTCAATACTTGTGTCCTCCTTGGAGCCTCTCAAGCAGCCGAGGAGATATTCACCAAACATAACGCCTCCTAAAGCCACCACCAGCTTCCTCATGGCACCGAGTTCGATTTTGGACTCCCTAGGGTTTTCAAGGGGAAGGGGTAGGCATAGGCCAACTTTGAGGGGATCCCTGTCACCATCATTCCAGGATGGAATATAGGTGGAACGAGCGCCTAGTCCAAATCCAGTCTGGCTACATCACAAACCTTTTTCCCGAAATCCTTACTGCTATCTCCTAGAACAGGTGTTGTTATCCCCATTTTACAGATTGCAGTCCGGAGAAATGAAATGCATTACTGAATAGCACATGCTTATTGAATACAGGGACCCAGATTACAGCTTGGGGGTGCCGAATTCCATAGTCCACTCTGCTTCTGCTATGCCAAACTCCCTGAGCAAACTTCCCCATAGAGGGCAGTGGGCCGGGCAGCTGTAACTGTAGGGCACACAGCAGGCTTGAGGCAGAGACGGGACCCACAGCACCATCTCCTAATATCTTCCCTGTGTTCTCTGCACTGAGCTGCCCAGTATCTCCAGGAGGAGGGGACTGTCTGGCACTCACGTGTCCCGGGTTCATCGGCATCTATTAATTTCTACTTAATGAGGAAAACAAACACACAAAGATGTAAACCTCAGTAGCTCTCCTCTAACCCCGTAGCTCCTATACCTGGACTGGCCCTTTCCCTCTTACTGGTGCTCAAAACCAGCTGTCGGGGTAGCTCTTTCTAAAATGCAAGCCTGGCTCTGATGCTCCCCGGGTCAACACTTTCCATGGATCCCCACTGCTCCCTGAATGAGCTCGGACCTCCTCACTGATGTACGAAAGGCTCTTCATGCCTCGCCCCACCCTTCCGTGCCAGGCCCAGCTCCTTTCCCAGCACTCTATCTTTTTTACTCATTTCCTTCCTGAAACTTATGACAGACAAATAGTCAATGGGTTTAGCAAAGTTTTATGTATCCCCAGAATTCTCATTCCTCCCATTTTAGCCTGGAGATACCCTGTGCTTTTATCAAGAACAATTCACGTTTGTAAAATGTTACCTCTTTTGAGAAGCACACCACCTTTGATGACTTGGCACTTTGTACCCATGCCCACAGCCTGCCCTGGCACAGCACCCTGTCTCCCATGCATTCGTGTGCACATTCTAGCTCCTCCAGGGACGCATGCTATCATCTCTGAAAACCCACCGACGTGAGCAGAGGGCCGAGATCAGTGAACACTTGTTGACTCACTCGCTGGACTCAACACTCATTTCCATAGGGATGTGGCAACGTGTTGGTTTTATTTGCCGCAAGCCAAGCCTGGTTCTAAGTGGCAGTCATTTCCCCAATTTTCTGGTTGTGTGTGTGTGTGACCACCAACGCCCGAATCCACCGTTAATATAGGAAAGGAGAGGAAGGGGACACAGTCACCTTGGGGAGCAGGGTGGAGCTTACCTGTGATCATGCTCAGTGCTGACAGGCATGCTAAGGCTTGGATATCAAGGTTCAGGCTCTGCAAACTTAAGGAAAAGTCTTTAATGGAGTCGAGCCACTCCCCAAATCCACGAAGGCACTGAAGTCGATGCAGGACAAGTCCATTGCAGAACACAAACTTATCTTCAGCAGTGTTTGACCTATAAGACAAAGTCGTGGGGGTGGGTGGGAGATAGAGACACATCAAACATGTGTTCAGTCAGTCCAACATCAGAACACAAAGGCACCTAAACAGTCATGAGGCAGCCTTCAGAAACCCCCGGCATGGTGCTGTGCAACCTTCCCAGATACTCTCGATAGACAAGACTGTGCTCCTGGGATCGACAGCCACTGCCACTTGTCTGCACGAACCTTCTGAGGGGCAGCCCTGGGTAGCAGGCGGTGGAGCCCCTGCTCTCTTATTACTCAAATCAGGTGCTCGAATCATCCCTGTGAGGGATGGGACAGGGAGGAGAAGACACTCGGGGAGGATGGACGTGAAGCCCCAGGCGCCGCCTCTCTCTGTAGTGAACGTGAGGCTGTTCCCTTCAGGGCTCCTTGGCCAGGACTTCTCCCTTTTATTCTTAAATGTCAAAAACTGATAAGACCTGAGCCTAGACACTACAATTCCACTGTGCAGACTCTAAGAACACTTCTTGCAATTGCCAGAAGTCAATCCCAGAAATTAAAAGTGATCCAAAGTCCAAGTAATTGTTGTTGGAAGTCTCCTTCTGTCCTTTTAACAGTGGGGATGTGGAGGGCTGTTTCTAAATCGGCCTGATAGTTTATATTATGCCCATCACCACTCTGGAACACCTAGACGTCACCACTTAGCCATGGGCCTGGGAGCATGCCTTTCATCTCTCCTTATCTATAAAAAAGGAAATTCTGATTACTACCTCCTGCCATTGTTGTGGGAACTCAATAAGGTATTTGAAAGCCCACGCACAGGGCCTGGTACAGAAGAGGAGCTCAATGAGTATTAGGTGTAATAAATTCTGACTTCTCTATGGTCCTTACTTGAATCTTACCTTTCCTTTAATTTTCCAGTCTCTTGCTACATATTTCTTTCTTTCAGCCTATTGCATTAACAAGTTAATATCTCTTGATTTGGGCTTCTTGGATGAGTAGCTTTATTCATTCATTCCCTTAGCAATTATGTCCTTTGCCCCAGGTATATGCCATTCCTGGAGCCAGGCACTGGAGAAAATTTGGTGAATAGTACATACATGGCACCTGCCGGCATGCAACTTATCCCTTACTTAATCCATTGCTGCCTGCCCAACAGAGGACAGTCCCGTTGCTGGCTTGGCTTCTGTGCACATGAGACTTATCATTATGCTAATGACTGACCCTCCTAGACGTAACTCCACCTCTGTCTCTCCTGCCACAGAGGCGTGCAAAAGACAGAAGGATTCAGCCTCAGAGTTTAAAACCCGGACCTCAGGCCACTGGCATCAGAATCACTGAAGCATGAGTTAAAAATGCAGATTTCTGGACTTCTTCCAAAGTAGCTCCAAACCAGAAGAGCTGAGAATGAGGCCTGGGAACCTGCACTTTGCACAAGAGTTTCTGGTAATAACACTTAGATATGAAAAGCTTAGAGAGAAGCTCAGATCCCAGGTTCCAGCTTTTTCGAAAATCACCCCCTCTTTGTCTTTGTTGTCACTGAGGAGGACAGGTTGGACCAAGTCTTTTGATCCAAAAGCTATTCTCTTGGAGTAAACACGTGGGGTTGAGAAGCTGTGGGAACTCTTTAGAGCCCCATCTGGTGTACTCGAGCAGCCCCTTGTTAAATAGAAACCCGTGAGGTAAATGCGACGCTCAAAACAAATACCTCCTGCCAGGAAATGCCTCACACACCATGAGAGAATCTTCCTCGAATCACAGAATGTTGGAACTGCCAGGGGCTTCAGAGATCAGCCTCAGAGATCAACCATGGGCTTCAGAGATCTGACCTCCTCATATCACAAAGCAAAGGGAGTATCAGGGGAGGCCAGGGACCGGCTCAGGGTCATAGAGCAAGTCCATTTTGGAACTGAGACTAGAACCTGGGAGTCCTGGCTCCCAGGCAAGTGCTCTCACCCACAGCCTAGTTTCATTCATGCCCGGCCATCTTTCCTATTTCCTTCCTGAGCAAACTTTTCACTGATGACTCCGTTACAAACCCAGCAGATTGCCAACTTCTCCCAAGCAAGGGGAGAACTTTAAAAAAAAATAAAATAAATAAAATCATAGTAATTACCTGATGGAAAGTCTGAGAACAAACAGCTCCAAAAAGGCTGATTCTATAAGTAACGTCTGATCTTCTTTGGGGAGATCAGTAAATCCGGGGATCTTTTCTGCCCAGCTTCTGGACACATCAATGGAGGCTGTCAGGAGGTTGTAGAACTGTTGCACGTGCTCGGCATCCGTGCCTGCCGCAGCCTGTTCGGCCGGACAGTACTAGAAGGCAAACCGCAGAGAGCTGCATTAGCGCAGGCCCACTGGGGCGGCAGCACCATTTGCAAATTAGCTTTTCCAAGACAGTCAGGGCCTAAAACCTCATTTTTAGGTCCCACGGTTGTAAAACATTTTTTTTTTTTTTTGCATTTAGTCTCATCTGATTCTCACAAAGTAAACAGAGCAAATTATGTTACCTCCTTTTTTTTTTTTTTTTTTTTTAAGATTTTTATTTATTTATTTCACAGAGAGAGACACAGCGAGAGAGGAAACACAAGCAGGGGGAGTGGAAGAGGGAGAAGCAGGCTTCCTGCTAAGCAGGAAGCCCGATGCGGAGCTTGATTCCAGGACCCTGGGATCATGACCTGAGCCGAAGGCAGACGCTTAAGACTGAGCCACCCAGGCACCAACATTGTGTTATATCTTAACAAAGAAACCTGGTAACATCCATTAGTGCAGTGGTTTTCCATCCTGATGCAAGACTGAAATCAAGTTTTACAAAACACCTTGTCTAGCTCATCTGCACAGAGATTTGAATTTAACAGGTCTGGGGTGGGGATTGGTCATCAGGAATTTCAAAGGCCCCCCCAGGTGATTCCAAAGAGCTGTTAAGGAGAATCATTACCCCTGAGGTCTGTGTCCAACAGGCCTCCAGGGTCTACTGATTCCACCAAAGCATAGCTGTCTCCGGGATGCTGATTCCGTCACAGTTCTCAAAGTGTAGTCCCTGGGCCAGCAGCAGCAGCCACACCTGGGAATGTGCCGGAAATGAACATCTTGGGCCCCCACCCAGATCTATAGAAGCAGAAACTCTGAGACTAGGAGAGACTGTTTTATGGAGACCTCCAGCTGATTCTCATGCACACTGGAGTCCAGGAACCACAGAATTAACCAATAGGAAAAGAGAAGGATTTTTGCTTGTTGCAGGTAGATTTCTGTAAGATAAAACAAACCAGGCCAGAGGAGGGGGGTGTCTCCTTACCAGGGCCCCGGCAGTCATGTGCTATCAGACTCAGGACTTATGGCTACTTAAATTCATGAAAACTAAATAAAAAGCCCAGTTTCTCAGTTGCGCTGGCCATATTTCTAGTGACCTAAAGCCATATGTCATGTGGAATATTTCGATCACTGCAGAATATTCTACAGGACAGCACTGATCTAAAGGATCCCAGGAGAAGAAAGGTACAAGTAGGAATACAGTCCTTGTCCAGCTTTTGGATATTCTGGTAGACTCAGGGTTTTGCTTGAGTCACTGGAAGAAAAAGTCTTTGCTGCTCTGGGCAGGAAGATTGATAGAGCAAGATAGTAATCTAGGGTCAAACAACAACAGAAACGCAACAGATCTGCAGAAATACTCATGGAAGTACGCACATCATTTCCTTCGCCCTCACACAGCCTTATGTGTGTTTGTGTCTTTTGTCTCAGTTCCTGCGGGGTATGGATTTTAATCCGTATTTTACAGGTGAGAAAAATGAGGCTCAGGGGGACTTAGGGAGGTGAAGACTTTCCCAAGGTACACAACCAATAGTGGTCCAGCCAAGTCTTAAACATGGCCCCGTGACTCCCCCTTCTATACTCCCTGGCTGTTAATATGTCTGATGTTCCTAGCTGGTAGCCTGTGGGATAGTTTTAAATAGTGTTTTTGCTTTGCTCTAATCGGAGGTGTCTGCGTGTGTATTTGGTCCCATGTTTTTGTCAACAGCACAGTGACAGCACATAATTGACCTCCAATAAGTTGTTGAATATTGCTCAGTGAAAAAACAGTCAGGGGAGTGCCTCGGTTTGTCACAATGCCCTAACCTGGCTGCCGGAGGAACAGCCAAGAAGCGCCAGGAGCTGACTTGCCTTAACTGGGTCTCTCTCTCTTTTTCCCCTTTGTGCTTTCCCAAGAGGCATCATGAAATACCAAAAGACACCATCAAAAGGGGCCCAGATGCTTTAATCCTAGATTTGTCTAGGCCCCTAATTTGTGAAAGAATGTAGCTCTGCCTGTAGTTACCTGGGATAAATTACTTCACTTTTCTGAGCCTCGGTTTTCTCCTCTGTAAAGTGGGGATTAGAGCAGAACCCCCTTTAGAAAGCTGACAGTACTACATGTGAAACTCCCGCGTGCTAGCTGGAGTAGAGAGAAGAATTTTGGACCAGGCAGTAGGTCATGGGGTCCTCTTCCAAGCTCTGGCATTGACTTGCTATGCAGCCCTAGCCAAGTTACTTAACTTCTCTGGAGAAGGAAGTGACCGGGCTACCTGATTTTTAAGATATCTTCTGGCTCTCTGCATTCAGCTGTATTTCTGCTATTGATTTCTAGTTTAGTTACATTGCGGTTTGATGGCACACATCGTCTGTTTTCATTCTTTTAAATTTGTTAGGGTGCATTTTATGGCCCAGACTATCAACTATCCTGGCGAATGTTCCATATGATGGCTCTTGAATTCGATGATTCTACATGTTGTTAATCATACCAGCTATGCTGTTACTGCCTAGAATATGGCACTGATTTAGCATTATTTTGTCTTAAAATAGTGTGTTAAATGGAGAGAAAAAGACCAAAGGTTGTAAACTTGTCCCTGGGAACAGGACCTAATAGCGCCCTCCTGCACTGACCTCCCTGAAACCATGGCTCACAACTCAGTAATCTCTCTGCTCAGAATCCTCCCGAGTGCTTAGCTTCCATCCAGCATTCTCTGTAGGCCTCATCCCTGCTGGGCTCACAGGGAGGTGCAGACCCTGCCTACCGTGTTTGTGCAACTGTCTCCGATGGAGTTCAGCAAGGAGAAAAGCCAGCAGGCCCGGCACGCCGGACTCCAGCCAGCCCTCCGGGCTTCACCTACAGTGATTCTGGCCCACGGTCCGGAATTTTTGGGACAAACTGGAGTCAGCCTGAGCCACCACTAACTTGGGGTTGACTAGAGGAAAAAACAAACCAAAGGTCCCCTCTGTTGAACGTAAGATTTAAAGGAACAGAACAAAACATTTTGGATCCTTTCTTACCTGGCCTAGAAGTTTTTTATAAAACCTTGCCAAGGAATACTGGGATTTGCAGGTGGAAGAATGTGATCCCCATTCTCAGCTTCTGGGCTCCCCTACATCACTCTGTTTCTGGGCGAGGCAGTTTTGGGGTTCACCAGAGAAAATCCAGAAATGTTCATTTATTGATCATTCCCATCGAATTTAGGTCAAATAGAGAAAGACTTTAAAAAAAATAAATCTTTTTTCCTGTTTAGGCTTCTTATTTCAGCCTGTGTGAATAATCGATCTATCTTAAATCTGCTTTACCTCTGGCCAGAGACACAGTATGACATTTACTAACCATTTAGAAGAGGCTATCGCTGTCTGATGGAAGTTTCTCCGACTGACCTAGAGTGAGAATCTCGAGCTGAAAACATCCACAGAAGTTACTGAAACAAGTCTCCATTCTACAGATGACAATACTAGGGCTGGGTAGGTCAGACTTCGCCAACAATCCTAAAGGCCTAAAATAAATTGTTCGAATGCGAATTAAGTGAGAGCCTCCAGGAACGCCAGCCCCGGCACATGAGTAATGAGAGGTTTTCAGAGCAAAATGGAATCTGGTATTTACCCCACCTCACCACTAGTCCAGGCTGAATATGTAAAATACTGAATACTAAGAACCTTTATCTCCCTTCAGAATGTTACTTCCCTCTGGGTCTTTCTATTTCTTTATACATTTTAGATGTGATCACTACATGAACCAACTGTGCAGACATATTCTTAGGTTTTTACACTTTAAAAAGTGACACTTTAAAAAAATTGGCAACAAGTGTGTCCCCCCCAACACCCGCCCTGCCGCCATCTTTCTTTTCTGACCCCCTCCCCTGCTAAAAAACAAAAGAAACAAAAAACCCTCTTCTCCTCCCACTAATGGCGTCACTACAGTGATACCTTTGCTTACTTTCTCTCTCGTTTAGGCTATGTCAGCTGTAGGCAGGGGATTCTCTTCAACATGTCCACTGCTATAGAACAGTACCTGACACCCAAGGGCCCAATCCGTAATTATTTGTTATACGACTTGGTTACTTTCCAAAAATTTATATGTCTATCCCTCATTCCCTCTAGCCTCCAAAAAAAAAAAAAAAAAAAAAAAAAGCTGGGAAACATAAGATTAGAGGTAAAACTGGATTGTTTTTATTAAACTATACTGGTGGTTCTCAAACCTTAGTGTGGCAACGAGTCACCCAAGGCACTTGTTAAAATGCAGATTCCTGTCTGCCTCGTCCCCCCCCCGTCCCAGTTCTGATTCGGTAGGTCTGGGTGTGGCCCAGGAATCTGAATTTTTAAGCAAACACCCTGGGTCTTCCTGGGCACTACACTCCGGGAAATGCTGAGCTCAGCCCATAGCAGAATTAGAGCATGACTAACAGTCAGAGGGTCCAGAAGGAGAAGCCTGGGAGGGATCATGGCGGGGCATTTAGTCTGATCTCCTCACCATTCAGACAAGGCAGCTGAGGCCCGCTGTGGCACAGGGACTGCCCTGAAATCTTGTTAACATATTTAAATGCCATTTGCTGGTGCCTGGTTTTATCGGAGCGGCATCTCTCGTTTTTGAAATCTGTTACTACCCTAAGTGACACCAATTACCGAGAAACATCCCAGTTTGCTGAAGAATACTTAAAATGACCAACTAATGAGAACGTTAAATATATTTTCTCATTAGTAATAATGCAGGCTCCGAAGCCAAACCCCATATCTATATATACTTGTATTGCTAAATTAAAAGCAACTGTGGGGCAGAGAACAGCTACATTTCAAGGAGAAACAAATCAAACGTGACATGTTTTGACTGCACTGATATACAATGATCTGAGCTCACTTTTGAAGGAGAGAAGTTTGGCCCAAAGGAGAAGTGAAGGTCCCAGAGCCAGGAACACTTCGCAGAGCGAGAAGCTCTCTTTCTGGCCTCTCACACATGCATGCATTCCCTCTGTGACTTGGAACCCAACTGCTCCACCTCCCTTTCCCACAATCGGGGAAAACCACTCACTCATGACCTTAGAGACATACACGCTGGAGCAAGGTTGGAACATACCTATCTGGCAAACATTGTCTCATTTCTCCATTTGCCCAATTCAAGGGGGAAACTGGTATTGTCAACAAATTGTTTTGGTCAAATCAACTGTCTGACTCAAATCCAACAGGGTAAATTCTTATTTAAAATGTAATAAACTATGGACACACACTAGAATGTTAACATTTGTTACCACTGAAGAGTGGGATTAGTCAGGAATAAATGAAGAGGAGAATTTCATTTTTCACTTCGTCCTCTTCTAAATAGTTTGCCTTTTAAAAAAACCCAATGGGTATATATTACTATTATTGTCATTTTAAAAAACTCAGTAAAGCTTCTATTTAAAAAAAAACTAGTAAATTTTCATTACAGAGACAAGGCAGTATGGTGAAATAGGAATTTAAGACCTTGAGTGATGAGATTCAGATCTAGCTCTAGCTCTGCCCCTGACCTTAGGCAAGACACTTAGGCTCTGGAAGCTTCTATTTACTCCTCTGAAAATATGGTAGTTGGATTAGATGATCTCAAAGTCACCTGCAGTTCTATCCATTTGAATATATATATCAGGAGAAGATATTATGAAAACTGAATTTCAATGAATGACATTTTTTAAAAAAATGACGGAAACAATAAATTACAGCACATAAAGCTGTGGCTTAAGTGAAATTATGTAAGAACATATGTGATGTTGCCTAGCTCAAAGTAGGCACTCAATAAATTCATTTTGCTTCATTCATTTTATGGTAATGTTTTTTAGAGAACAAAGCAAGTTCAATCTTGTTAAATAACAAGTTTCTTAACATATATTCACATACACATTCACATATATATCTAAAATCATATAAATATAAAATTACTTGCATTTAGGAATAATAAGGTAAACCCCAGAATCATAAAATCTTAGAGTTGGAAGGAATCCAATATTCAAAATAACTTCTCTGCTTGTGAGAAATCCTGTTATGTGTTCTCCTTATTTACTTCATGTGTTGATGAGCTCATGCTTCCACAGTAACTCTTGTAGCTAAGAGAGCTCATTCTTATCTTCAGAATGAGCTGGACGGCCCCCCCCCCTTCTTCTTCTTCTAGATCTACCCTTGGGAGCAGCAGTCCTCTTTCCACAGGGTAAAAGAGTAACCCAATCCTGCAAAACCTTCTCACTTTCTGTCTAGATATTTTCGTTTCCTCCAATCATTCCTTACAAGTTTCCATAAATGGTGTGTTTCCACGTCCCTCTTAAACTACAGTTTGGGAATGAACTTAACCCTTGAAATGTAGTCTCATAGAACAGAGCCTGTGTGTCCACTCCCAACTTGGTTCTGGTCCTGCATTTCTACTATAGCAACCCAAGGTAATTCAGCCTCCCTTCCTTCCATCACACATATGTTTTTTGGTTCATATTGAGAGTGTATGGAATAAAGTCCCAAGATCTTCTTAACAAGAACTACTGATGGGCCAAGGCTCTTCCATGTTTTGAAATTCTAAATGCTGAGCTTCACATTTATTTTTGTTAACTTTCTTCGTGATGGCTTCAGCCCATCCTGTTCCAACCTGTCGAAATCACTCTGAATGTTGATACTGACATCCATCATATTAGCGATCCCTCCCAGATTTCTGTCATCTGCAAATGTGATCAGCATGCCTTCTATGCCTTCATCCAAGTTTTTGATGAAAACTCACTGTATTTTTAAAAAGTCTTTTAATTTAATTGATTTTGGTCCAAGTTTTGATAATTTTGTAAAGCTATCTAAAAGCAGGAGAATCCAACTTATGAGGTTCAACCTGATTCCAAAACAATGCAATTAAAATAAATATGCTTTACAAAATTGAGCAAGGCACCAAAAGGTAGTATCAATGTGACCCAGACTCTGGCATGGTCAATCTGCTATTTTGGACAAAGCTAACAATTAAATTGGATAAATGTTTGTTGATGAGGATGATGACTCTAGTCTAACACACTGAATAGTGCAGAGGCAAGCAAACACACTGGATTGATTTTTCCATGTGGAGACAGTTCCCAGCTGGGACAACTCAAAGTGCTGGGGAGGGTTTGCCACTGAATGACTAATTAGGCCATGTAGGCCAATAATTGGATAATTCAGGGCCAAAAAATCACTCTGGGGACCCAAGTTCTCTGGACTGACCATCAGTAGCGATTTCCAATGCCTGGAACAACGTCAGACTGTCCTACAGGCTCGGCATAGGCACTGTGGAGCAGCTTCATGAATTCAGACAAATTGCATGTGGGGAGGCCCAAAGGTGCTTCAGGGAGGAGAGGTCATTATTTCTGAATGCTTTTCTAGCACCCACTCTCACTGAAACCAAAGACACGGTGAAGCATGGTATCTAGGAACACAGACTTTGGGGTCTGTGGGTCCCCAGAGATTGTTGGGGTGTTGGGTCCAACACCCTTTGCTTCTAATTCTCTCTTTGACAAATGTCACCTATGTGACTTTGGGCATGTCACTCCCTTACCCTTTCCCAGTTTTCATCTCATCATCTGTGAAATAGGTGATAACGTTTACCTTAATGATATGGCTACGTGACCCGTGACATGTGTAGTTCATACATTCAACAAATGGTAAAGGAAGAAAGGTTGGTCAGGGAGATAATGTACAGGGCACTGTGCTAAAGCTTTGACAAGTATCATCTTATTGACTCTTCTTCACAGACCACCCCAGAAAGTAGATATTATTATTATCACTCCATAGCACAGATGAGGAAACTGAGGCATTACAAGGTTTCATTGGTTGCTCAAGGTCACCCATCTACTAAATGATGGTGTTGGGATTTTCTTCTAGGCCTGCATGGTTCCACAGCTTAAACCCTTAACCACCACATTATTCTGTTAGACTATTATTTGAGACTTGACTTTAGTTAAGAGATGCTACTTGTAATCAGAATAAGAGTCCTCAACCTTTGGTGCTAAGGGTCTACCATGCTTCTCATTTGAAGTCTTGTGATTAGGTGTGGAGAGGAAGCTTCACAGCCTATAATGAGAGTGAGGATGAGGGAGGGAGGATCGCAGCAGGTTCACCAATCACCCCTTCATTTCTGTCAGCATTGCAGCCCAGAAGGAGGGCACACAGCAGACACACACACACACTCTCTTTGCCAGCTCTTCCATCAGAAGTCTGAAATACTGATTAGACCTGGGGAGGGCAATCTGGTAGTCGCTGCCAAGTCAGATCAACCAACTAGAGATCCCTGGATTGGCCCTTCTCTCTCATCTGTGTGCAAACTGTGTTTCTAAGTTTTCTTGGATTAGAGAGTGGGAGACTATCCTCACTGTTCACCGTTCTTTAAGTGAACGGTGACAGACAATAGAATGCAATGTCTAGCATGACGAGACAATAGAATGCAATGTCTAGCATGCAGAAATAACCCAATAATTGTGGTCTTTTTCCTTCCTTTCCCTCTCTGGTGAGACCCCGTCTTATTAGAAACTTGCTTTTCTGAGTCCAGTGATGTTTATACATTTGCTCAGAAAATCCCTTCTCATGGTTCTCCTCTGTGTTATACAAATTTCTGGGAATTTTCAGAGTTCAAACTGATGAGATTTGACCACATCTTATGAGAAATAAAAATAGTGATATGCTTTGGTTGACTTAAATAACAGTATTGGTACTCATTTACGGTTTTCAAAGCCATCATTCCTGTGTAACTGATGTTCCAAACATCCCTCTGGAGTTAAATATTATAATCATCTCCACTATAGGGATGAGAAAGCCATGAGCAGGAGCCAGGTGACACTGGCAGGGAGCAGCAGAGGCAGTGTTCCATCCCGATACCCCTGACACCTCCCAATGTCAAGGCCAGAGCTCGCTCCTCTCCATCAGTGGTCTAATCCCCTGAATAAGCAGCAGGTCAATCAGTGCTGATGCAATTGGGTAAACTGATAAGGGATAACTTGAGGCTCACCCAGATGGTTTGATCAGAATATGAAAAAAGTGTTGGTCCCTTCCTCTAAACCACAAAAGAAACCTACACACCGCAATTCACCTGTGCAGATTTTCATTGACACAACCACCAGGAATTCTGCAACAATGGTATGACAGGTGCAGCACTGTCAGGGTCATTTTGTTAAGGCATTCAGAGACCCAATAAGGCAAAAATGATTGGGCGCAATGGATGCACCAGAATTGCTAAATGAAGGGAGAAATATAGGAAAGGTATGAAAACTGTTCAGTCCAGCGCCAGGTGCAAAGTCATTCAATCAACTCATGTTACTAGTATCATGAACAGAGACTGGATCATTCATTCGAAAAGCAGGACATCATAAAACTTACTCTGGAGTAATCGAGATCTCTGGGTGTTGAGTCTGTTAAAGCTCGGACAAGGGCGTTCATCATACAGATCGGAGGAGAAGGTGGAGAGGGCTGAGAAGGTTCCTGCTGTAATGGGCTCTTTGGTTTGGAAGGCAGCCGACCTCTCCTCCCTTTCAGACTGTCTGTACGGACAACTGATGCCAAGAGAAAGAAAGAAAAAAATGTCTTCAAAGATATCCATAAAGAGCCATAAATCACAAAAAAGAATCAAAACACATTACAGTTGAGCAATCATTAACAAGACCAACCATTTACAAGTGGCAATGAGTTTGGAATTCTATCCCCACAATGATTTAATGAGAGTTGAAACAAGCAGCATAAAAATCACTCATACTTACATCTGGTAATGAATTAGCCCTGAAAGTCTCCTTCTTAAATAGAACAGAGATGTATGTACACAAGCTCTCTATTGATTTTGAGAAATTAGAATAAGTAGTCCTCGGCTATTTTTTAAATGGTAATACACACCGTAAAAGTAAAATGGTGGGAAGAAAAGGCAACTAGGAAAATTCACCATCCCAACATTAATATCAACATTTTTCTCAGTGATAGAATAGGTATAAGCAAGCTGAGTAAAGAGCATTATATCCGTACCTTCTTTAACCATGCCAACACTGAGACACTTCTGAAATCGACAGTACTGACATCGGTTTCGACGTCTCTTGTCTACAGGGCAGTTTTTATTTGCCAGGCAAACATATTTTGCATTTTTCTGAACCGTTCTCTGAGAAAACACAATACAGAGATAGTCAACTAATAGTTTCTGGAAAGAGGTAGGACCTGACAAGATGTATTTTAATTACAATGTGAAAAGCGACAGTGCAATTCGTATAATTAGATAAATTTAATTTCCTAACACGCTAGCCTGCAGGAAAAACAATTTTATTAGTGTTAGCTGCTGACAATGAAAATCATCTCGGATTGTTCTGAAGCAAGTCTCAGGAGACACCAAGTCTGAATGATAAAATCATATCTGAAATTACCAGGTCAACATATCATACCTTGGAGGATTAGATTATCTCCACTTTTAATATCCCTTTGGGAACAATTTTCTACTTGTTCCACTCTCCTGATTATTGCTGACCTTATTAAAATAAAATCAAAATTATCTGGGATGTACTTTGTTGGCTATCACTATTGTAAGTCAAATATCACAGTAACTGGCTTTGTTCCCCAATAGAGATGAAATCATAAAAAGCAAAATCAGGACTTGACTAGTTAAAACATATAGGAAATGTTTTTATGCAAAAACATCACTATCGCTTAATCTGCCTATATCATTTATTTTATCTTTAAGATATTAAGATAATATATATTAAAAGAATATTTTCTTAAGAGGATATCTAGGGTAAACTGATTATTTCTGACTTTTGAAAGTAAAATCTTAAAATTGGTTACTAAAAACCACACCAAAAAAAAACAACAAAAAGATTAAAAACGAAAAAAATGGAAATATGAGAGCCATAAATTTTCAATAAAAATTCCTATTTATAGGTTATCTCATAAATGACTACTGACATAGACATCAAAATAGCCATATTGTAAACAATACAACATAAACCTTAGACTTGGATATAAAATGATGTTTTATTCTTCAGCCTCACATACGATTTGAAAATGACACATGGAGAAATAATGAAGCATGTTTTATGCTCCAGATTTTAAAAAATGATTTAAAAAAATTAAAAAAAATTGTACAAGTGGATGTGTATTTACTACCTAGGGTGAAATTATTCAGAGATTACCTGAATCTATACAACTCCAAATAGAGCAGAAAGTTGGAATTTATTTAGTAAGCCTGGACCGCATTAAAGAAAGAATGAAAGAGAGAAAGGAAGGAAGGAAGGAAGGAAGAAAGAAATCCAGATAATTTAGGATTGGTGAACTATTTTGGATCCAAAATTCTAGATTCACTTTTAATCTTTTACTTTTAGCAGTTCTCAAGCCCCATGAATTAGTTTTCACCCATCACCTTTTAATTTCATTTTAGGGAATGGTTTCTAAACTGCTTCTACGACTTTAAAAATCTACCAAAGCCAGATCCATTTAGTTTAAAATGCAAAATTCCAAAACACAAACACATCTCTGAGTTTCCAGCATTTAAATTCTCAACAGTCTGTAAGGGTAGGAAACTTATGTTTCCTGAATGAAGCTCTCTTTCATTGGACATGCAGTAATTTCTGAAACTCTCTTTCTTGCCATCATCCTCAAGGCTACCTGCCAGTTTGAGTGCTGGTGGCATTTTGCTTCAGGTATACATCTTCCCAATAACCTGAAACCTTCCCCACATTTGTGTGTGTCTGCACAGTTTAAGGACAGGGAGAGATCGTTATGGTTCAATCACTGAATTCCCATCATTAACTGCACCTCATGTCACATTTTTAAAGAATTCAATTTAATGGTAGAAAGCCACTGGGTAAAACCTGCTCCTGTTCCTTTAATTAACAGATCTGTGGGGTGGTTCTCCCCCATCCTACCCCCACCCTTTTGAGTATAGATTTGTTTTCAAGGCATTGCTGCAGAAAAGGGATGCTGTTGGGGAACACTTAATTGACATTTCTGGACGAGGAATGTATTACCACTCCTGTATTTTGGTTAACTCTCAATTATTCAGAGGTGATTATATTCGTGGGTTAATCATACTTCTCTTAATTGTTTTTCTTTCTTTTACCCTTTTTGGCTGCCTGTTTCATTGCCCTTCAGCATTTCCACTGAAATGCTGTGAAAATGAAATCTGCTACAGGAATGTGGTTAACTTGGAAAGAACCCTGGTAAAGCGTGAGCAGTTCAGACAGGAAAAAAAAAAAATGGCTAAACTGAGGTTCTACATTTAAAACATTATATTTCTGCATACCTCTTATATGGCACTAGACATACTACAAAGTCTTTCCACAGCATTTTCTCATTTATCTGCAGAATTTAATTAGTTGCATGATGTCTAACCCCAGATCAAAAATAACTGTTGCTTGCTGGTAGGCATACCAATCCACACACATGTGCATTTTAATAAATACTTGGTAGTTTTCATTTAATAATGAACTACTATTTTATGGCCCTTTAAATAAATGTGTTCATAACTGCTTTATCTAATTTGATACTCATGGCCCTTCTCTGAATTTTTATTCACCTGATTGGAAAATGGAAACCTAGAAAGACATACCATGCCCAACATGGTATGTTGGATTGGTAGGTGACAGATCAAGGACTCTTATTTGAGTGTTCTGACTCCAATTTTAGCACACTCCCACTCCCAGATATATCCTATTGGCTTCCAAATACCAGTTATCCAATCAGCATCTATCTTCCCTTTTCCTTCCACCCTACCAGGCTCTGGAGGCCAGGGAGTGGCCAGGTGCAAGAACATTTGTGGGTTTGCAAATGCCTGATATAATGGCCAAGGGAGTAGAGAGGGTGGCACAGAATTAGGTGTCTGAAGAAGTCTGGGAGTCAGTAGCAAAAGTTGAGTGGCAAGAGAACAAGGCCTCTTCTCCCTCAACAGTAGAAAGAGCACTGACCCCAAGTGTTGAAGGAAAACAGCTGGAATGGCCAAACATGCCACTAAATCACCATTTATAGAACGCACAAGGCTTCTCTTTCTAGGCTTCAGCTTACTCAGGGGTAAGTTATGGAGGAAGCCAAAGACCCTATAAAATTCTCCTTTGGGTCTATGAGATAATGAACGTGTCCACACCTGGCACTGTGTGTGGCACAGAGATGGAGGGGACTGGTGAGACCCCAGCTTCTGTCTTCTACAGAGGGAGCTGTCCCAGCCTGCAACCAGCCAGTTGCTCCTGTCTATTCTGCTGGTGCAGACCTGCGAAGAGTTCTCACAGAGTGTGTGTCTTGGGGTAATTTGAATAACCTCTCTGAGTCTCCACTTCCTCATCTGTGAAGCAAGGATAATTAATACCTACCTTCAAGATACTATTAATAAAAATGGCTAGTGGGTGGTCAGAATTCAATCTCAGGTCTGTCTGCTTCTAGAGTCCCAGCTCTTATATGAGGATTAAGTGAGATATAAATGTCCAGGGCCTGGAACACAGACCCCATCCCCTCCGATACCCTGCATGGACAGAGGAGGAATACAATGAGGCTTCTGCATTTTTTTTTTTTTTTTTTAAGGCTAGGGATCCTTTTGAGAATCTGCTGAAGGCTCTCTCCAGAAAAATGTTCATAAGGTAAAGCCAAGTCGGGAGGTTCACAGCTCCCTGGAGTCCAGGTCTGCCTCCGTTCATGGACCTCAAGTTAAAAACCCCTGAGAGAGTGGGTGTGAAGGTGCTAGGAAAGGCTACAGGCACGCACAGTATAATAATGCCACTTCTGGAAGGGGAAGGACCCTCTTGGACGCCGCTCACTTGGCAGGTGGCAGAGGAGGCTGGCTGCAGAGGGGAGGGGGCGCCAGGAGGAGGCGTGCGCTCACCTTGAAGAAGCCCTTGCAGCCCTCGCAGGTGCGCACCCCGTAGTGCTGGCAAGCGGCGTTGTCCCCGCACACGGCGCACGTGCCCTCGCCCGACGACGAGCTCCTGTTGGGCGGCGACGGCAGGTTGGGGCTCTCGCCCAGCAAGCTGGACGCCGTGGGGGAGGCCGTGAGGCCGAGCGGCGGGAAGGCCAGCGCGGCCGCCCTCTTGGCCAGCGGCAGCCCGTATGGGTGGCCCTCGAGCGCGGCGGCCTGGCTGCTGGCGGCGGCGGCCGCGGCGGCGGCGGCGGCTCCCAGCGGCAGGGTGAGCGCGGCGGCGGCCGTCGGGTCGTAGCCCAGGTGGTGGCCCCCGGCCGGGCTAGGCGCGGGCGGGTGCGGCGGCGAGGGCTTGAAGTGGAAGAGCGGGAAGCGCGCGCCGGGCACTGTGGGCACGGCCTTCATCGGCGGGTCGAGCAGCGGGCCCGGAGCGATGCAACCTTGCGCCGAGGGCAGCGCGTCGTCCCACAGCGCCCCCGCCTGCGGAGGGAAGCCCGGCGTGGTGGGCGTGGATGGCGGGGACTGCTTGAAGTACATGGAGGTGCTGGGCAGCACCTCGTCCTCCGGGCCGGACGGGGGCGGAATGGATGGCTGCTGCTGGGGCTGCTGTTGCTGCTGCTGCTGGTGGTGGTGGTGATGGTGGTGATGATGGTGATGGTGGTAGTCGTGCGCGCGGCCCTCCTCCATCTTGATCAGGGGCCGTGGCCCCGATGGCTGCATTTGGTACAGGCAGGAGGGCTTGAGTTCGTAGTTGCTCGAATAGCCTTCCATGAAGGTACTGAAGCTGGGCAGGGACGTGGTGGCGGTGGCCGTGATCTCAGTGCTGCCAAGGTCCATGGTCAGTTTGGCGTAGTCGGGGTTCATAATCTCCGTGGTGTATTCCGAGCCGTAGGTCTGCACTGCATAACTGGAACCTGGAGGCGAAGGGCTATACTGGGCTTGCACGCAGGGCATATCTGCAGGACAGGGAAAAGGGTCTGTCAGAAGCAAGTCAGCACTCTCTCCTAGCTGACAGGTACCACTTGGTTCATTGCTTTCTCATCTGGGAAATGGGAGGGGAAGTGCCATCCTTTTCTCCTTCCGGTAGAGTAGATTTAAAGCTTCATGCTTACTTTCTTCCTTGGAGAAAGCGGAATTCCTGAAAGACTGTCTAAGGGGCCACAGGATGCCTAAACCAGGCCTCGTGGGGACCTCTGCCTACCTTCTCTCTCTTGCCCTTGTTCTCCACCAGATCTGGGAAATTTGACTACTTCTTTCATAAGCCCAGTCATGTTTTGACGAAGGGGTTTTGAACCCTATAAACTAATTGGGGGTGGTCTTGGCCACAAGTAGGGAGGACAAAAAGAAAGCCAGTGAATGCTGCTCTGTTGGTTTATTTTTGGGAAAGAGGCCACTAGTCCCCAAAGTCACATGCATTGATTTAGAAATCTGAGGTTTTTTTTTTTTTTTTTTAAAGTGTCCTTTGCGAGACTTACTGGCCAAGGAAGACTGACATTCTAACATTTTATGAGTGCCAACTGAGCCTACCCACACATATTGTGGTCGCTTTCTCCCACCCCCTCCCCATTTCTCCAAACACAGCTAACAGCCTACACAAACTGGACCCCTCGTGATGACTTCAGCCAGTTAGGTGGAGAGGTGGGAACACAGGCCCAGGAAATGGACTCGGGGGAGTTTGTGCCATCTGCAAAGAAAAAGATCAGCAGCTGCAACAAAACACCCACCGCACATGCTCTCTGCCGTATACAGTATGTATATATATATATATATACACACACACACATATATGTATCCCTCAATCCTGACTAATAAAATATATCAGTGGCTGTTTTAAGACAACAGTTTACAGCTACTATAAGAGGGGAGGTAGCCTACAAATTTTCTTATGACAGAAGAATTAGTACCTCTGCAAAAGAAAGCAGTTCCTTAGTAGGTTCAATTTCTCTGCCAGTTGACTATGTTGAGCCCCCAGAAGTGACTAGTATCCCGGATGCTTATTATTGTTCAGAGAGGTTGAGCTGGATGAGAAGGCCTTGGGAATTACTGGATCTAGTGGCTGATTTTTTAAAGATCTTATTATTTCTCTTTCTCTATGGCTAACTAGAAATGGTAAAATGGGCAGTTTCTGGGGGTTGGTTTTTCTGAACCAAAGGGAAAGCAGGTGCTTCACCTCTGTTTGGAGTCTACGGTCTAGAAGTTGTGACTAATAAAAAAAGTGAGTACTTCATATTTCCTTTGACATCTTTCTCTTACCCACGTTTCCAAATCTGATTGAGTCATGCGTGTATGGGATGAAATCTTGACTTGAAAAAAGGTGATGAGGGCCTGTGGGAAGAAGCGGTGATAAGGAGAGGCCAGTTCAAGCCTTCATTTTCCAAGAAGGGCCTTAAAAACACTCACTAGTTTGAAGTTCAAGGATTACTTATCCTGCTGTCTTGTTAGGGTGAAATGAAAGGCTAATGATTTAAAAGAAAGAACACTGCCCAATGTTCCATCTATTCTTCCTTCAGCACCTCTAGGATTTCTCCATTAATCTTCTGTCATCTTTCCTTGCCAGTCCCTATGCATTGCTCTTCTTTGTGTCTTTCTGGGGTTTCCAGCTAGAATATGAGTTTGCTTGCTCCTAAGTTCTATTGATCTGCATATCTTTGGTGATTACACAGTCCAGGCACCTGATATCTCTTTAACAAAGGCATAAAGAGGTGTTAAAAGCCAAACCTGCAATCCTTTCTTTTGCCCAATTAGAATTTACTCCTTGGTTTTCAGCTCAAATGCTTTTTCTCTTTTCCTCTGTGCTTTAATAATCCAAACTTCTGCATCAAATGATTTGGGTTCTGTACAAACATAAATGTTCTGTAGCTCAAAGAGAGTCCATAACTTTTATATGCATAAACTGGATATAAAAGGAGAGCAAAAATGGAGACATCAAAATGTATAATAAGATCCTAATCTATTGGCGTATGAGACTTTTTTTTTTAGGAAAAATATTTTTGAGAAATGCAACGCTTAATTGAATCTGGCTGCTCTACTAGGTAGCAACAGGGTGTGGTATCCAGAGGAGCTTCGTGCAAGGAGGCCACCTGTTCTGTGAAATGCATGGTCAACAGTCACTGCCCTGGTGCTGGGCAAGTGGAACAGCCCGCCTGCTGGGTGTGTGCATTCCCCCCCGCCCCCACCTCTCCCAGCCTGAGAGGAATAAGGCGCCATGCCTTTAGACCTACCTGGAGGATATCTTGCGCGCTGAATGGTGGGGCTGTGGGTCTCTCCAGCGGAGGCTGAGAGGGTGGGAGGCGGGGACGTCCGGCGAGGCGAAGCGGTGGCAGTGCTACCCGGCTCCGCTGAGGGTCCAGGCTCAGGACCCGGGCTTGCCGAACTGCGCTCTTCCGCAGGAGGCTCTGCGGGCACCGAGAGAGACAGAGCTTAAAGTGAGACCAGGCTGGTCGTCGTGGCCGGGGCTGGGCGTACTGGGAGAGGGTGGTTTGGTAGGGGGGTCACTATGAATGCTACGTTAATTACAAAGAATTTTAAGGGCAAAGAAGCAGTGATTAAGGTGAACGGGGTTCCTGGGCAAGAAGCATCACACCTCCTTGAGGGGAGGGCGCAGAAAGGTTGTCAGGCACCCACTGCGCTCACCGCCGTTTTGTGGCACCCAAATCTAGGCTAAAAATACGTGCATTCTGTCATCGCCCAGGAATTGATCTCTCTTGTCCCCACAATTGGTTCTGAGCTGGCCAAGTCAGGAAAACCAAAGAAAGAGCACCTGAGGAAGAGTTTCGACCGAATTCGAGGAGTCAGTGAGTGTTCACGAGCAGAAAATAGTCATTTTCCAACTCCACTGGCCCCCCCACCCCGCCCTCCTCAAATACAGAATTTACACGTTGCATAGGAAATGCACAAGGTCCGGAACGAATGCGTGAATGCCCCGGGGAATTAAGAAAGTCTGCGCTTTTCATTCTAAATGCTAATGGAGCTTAGCTTCTATTAGCCGCGAGTTTTGGGGGCCAGGGGTCAAGCAAACAAAGGGACACAGTGGAAACAGCCCCGCGCTGGAAACAAGGGGACCAGGCAGTTGGAGTTCCAGGCTGGTAGGGTGGGAGGAGGGAGGCCCCCTGCACCCAGCAGGAGGTATCCCTGAGGGTGGGCGACTTCGAGGCTCGGGGCCATCCGGCGGCCCCGAGGGGGCACATTCCGGAGGGCGCCGAGCGCGGCTCCGGGGCGAGCGTCTCTGCGCACAGCCTCAGCGAAACTTTGTAGCTGGAATCGCAGGTCCGCGGGCCTTGGGGGAAAGGTCCACTGCCCCAAACTCTGGTCTATAGCGCCCCCTTTGCCTGGACCCGTTCATATCTCGAGGGTTGGTAAGGTGAAACTGAAAAAAACCAAAACACAACCCCCCAGAACCTCGGGAGTGCGCGGGCCGAGAGGGGCGTGTTAAGTTTTGTCCCCCGCCGCCCCTGCGCCAGCGGCTTGCCTGAAGGAAGAGGGAGAGGGGGTATCGGAACCCCCGGGTCCGGTAAGCCCTCGAAAGCCAGGAAACGGGGGATTCCCTTGCCACCCCGCCCCAGCCCTGTCCCAGCCGATCGTACGGAAATCTTGCGCTCGCTCTAGCGCAGGCACGGGCGGATCTTCCCACGGCTGTAGCAGGAGCTTCCCGTCCACCCAGAATTTGCAATACGGGACTCCAGCAACCTCCCACCACCTCCTGCAGTAGGTGCCCTCATTCCTGCCCTCCCCTGGGTCCTTTCGAGCGGAGTGTTTCTCCGAGGATCGGCGAGGTTGCGTCTCCTTAAGGAAAGGGCTCCCCTCCAGCGCCGCGCGTTCGCGGAAAGAGCCACACCACGTTTCCTGCAGCAGAGCCAAAAGCCCCAACGCTCCCCTCCGCCCCCACCCCCGCCCACTCCCATGGCCGGTTACCTAGGCAAAGCCTCTGCGCCTGGAAACACGTTCCGCCGCTCCGGCTCGCGGCCGCCGGGGCCGGGAGCACTGAGCCTCGGGGTTGTAAATTAGGTAGAAATAACTACCTCTGTCAAAGCTCCTTTCTTTCTCGTGGGCAGACGAAAGGAACACCCCCATGTTCCCCTCCCCGTGGTGAAGTGTGTGGAGGAAACCGTGAAACGCACCATTGTAACCCGGGCTCCTCCGCGGAGTTTCCAAACCTGGGGAGCGGGGGCGGAGGTTGGGCGGGGGCAGTAGGAGTGGAGGAGAGACCGACAGAAAGGGAAAGACAGAGATTCTCAGAAAGACCAAGGGAGAGGAGACAAACCGCGGGGGAGAATTTCTGCGAGCGCGCGGTCTCAGGGAAGGGAGTGGGTGGGTGCGGAGAGGAGGGAGCCGGTGTGGAGGTGGCTTGGCCTGAGCAATCTTTGATATTCACAGTAGGATCACCTTATCCAGGTAAGATAACTCGAATGAACTCCAACTTCATTCATTGTGCCCAGTAGCCCCGTTGGGCAGCTTTTTCTTTCCTCTCAACTCAGTTCTGTAAAATATTTCTCCGTCGTAGAAATAGAGGATTCAGGACGGATTTGCCATTCACCTCTCGCCTGGCACCCTAAGACTCTGGGATAACAGCCCAACATTTGTGATTACCAAACTCCTTGCAGCTCTTCCCTCCGAAGAATCCGGAGGCATAAGTAAAAGACAATTTCCAGGAACGTTCTTTAGAATCAAGGGACAAATGCTTTCTCTCCTAGTACTGACCCAAGCTTCCAGTGGGTTCGAGAGGTGCCTTAGGTAGTCCATCTCCCTAGGCTGCGCTCTCATACCGCTCTCCGCTCACCACTGAGAACTTTCATTTGTTTCTATTAAGAGTAAAACACTCAGAGCAACTTCTCCAAAAGCGCGAGTTCTGTCAGTTAAGAGTAAAACATGTCCACACCAAGCCAAGGCCCGAAGGAAACGAACACCATCTCCACGCGTGTCCGGGCTCGGGAGTAGGCAATTACACCCGATTACCTCTGAAGGGAAAAGTGTACACGGGCAAGTAGGCTACGCCAGGCAGACGTGCCTAGTGGAGCCCTAGGCTCATTTCAATACAATAAGCCACATTCCTACAATTACGCCCTCTTTCCAGAGATCATCCGAGAGACTTTGCGAACTCCAACCACTGCTGCCCATGCCCCTTCCCTCCCAAGCTTCCTCCCAGTCAACCAGATGGAAGTCACCATTAGGTATATTAACTTGGACCCACCGGAGCCCCTATTTTCAATCCTGGTTAAAAGGCAAGAAAATTACTGCCGTTCATCACCGGAGCTGCAACTCCCTGCCGCTGCCGCCGCCGCCGCCGCCGCCGCCGCCGCCGCCGCCGAGAGCATCATTACCATGACAACTAGAGCCGAAATACCCTGAATTACATCGCTGGAGCTGCTACTGAACAAATCCCGGTCCTCCTCTTTGTTAGAGGCTTTTCGCCTCTTCGGGTGGGGGGAGGAATCCCACGAGCTCCAGAGATCCCCGCGGGCCCGCTACAGGGGAAAAGTTTCACATCAGAACCCACCGGGCCGCTCGGCGAGCAAAACCAGAGCGACGAGCCGAGGGGGAAAAACCCCACACGCAAAGTTGTCAATTTCAGGAGCGACGCTTCCCAGCGCGCCAACTTTTTAGCAAGTCCCCCAATTAACTGGGCGAATCTCATACGTACTTGAGTGCTGTGGCGGTTCCGTCTTTAGAGCGAGTTTCTAGAGAGCTGCCCCGAAATCTGCACTGGGGGGGAGTCACAGCTGCTGTCCCGGAAGGGCTGCTGTGTACAAGCCCAGCGGCTCCCAGAGGTGGTGAGCGTCTGGCAGGGGATGCTGCGATCCAGACTCATGGGAGAGTGCCGGCGAGGGGTTCCGCGGGCGTCCTGGCTCCGGCCGCGACCAGGGGGGAGGATGCCGCCGCAGTTCCCACCTCCAAGGCCACCGCCGGCGCTGTCAGCGTTGCAAAGTGAGTCCAGGAGGGGCGTCCGGCTGCCGCGCGGCTCGGCACCCGCGAGGGCGCAGGGCGAGAGGGGTGTGAGCGCGCGGGAGAGAGTGGAGTGTGTGTGAGGAGCTTGTGTGCGCGCGTGTCTGTGTGTGCGAGTGAGGGAGCGGGTGTGAGCTTGTCTGTGTGTGGGGAGCGGAGGAGGAGCAGGAGCTGGAGGGGTGGGGGGCGGGAGGCAGGAGACTCCGCTCTCCCGGCAGCGCGTTCGCTCGCTCTCTCGGCACGTCATTTATGCCACAGGAGCCCTAGCGGCCTCTCCATAGAGTGCCTGGAATGCGAGACGTCAATGTGACGCCATGGGACGCTACGTCACCCTCCTCCTCCCTCCCCTGGCCCAGCCGGTTCCGCGTGTGCGAGGGAGGGTGTGTGTGTGTGTGTGTGTGTGTGCATGTGCGCGCGCGCGCGCGTCCCCCGACCATTCTCAGGGCTGCACAATGGAAACTGCGCCGCGCCGCCAGCCCCGGCAGGGGGTCCTTTTGGACTCGCGCCGCCAACCCCTTTGCCGCCGTGCTGCTCGCCAGGGCTCGAGTCGGCTAGAGGGTGCAGCGGCCCGCCGGCGGGTCAGGCGGGACCGCCCAGCTGTCAGGCTAGGGTGGAGTAGAGTTGGAGGAGTGCGGCTGGCGCGACTCCGAGGCTGCCCCGAGGCATGGAGCCAGGGAGAGGGGGTAAGGGAGAGGACAGCTCTTCCGAAAGGGAAGGCTCCGCCAGCCAGCTTCTCCGAGTGACCTGGCAGCCGGTGCAGGAGTCAGGCACCGGCCCGAAGACTCCCTGAGGTGCAGCTGCGCTTTCCTCAAGCAACGGTTCCAAAGCTGTTTAAGCCTCGCTGGCCCTCAGCGTCTAGGCTAATCCATCTCCTCCTCGCATCATTTGCTGAGTGCGTGTTTCGCACAGGGATGCAGATGGCTCCGGGAAGATAAGGTCTTATTTCATTAAGCTAAGGTGTGGATTTCCTAACTGGACCCACTGTAACCCAACTAAGAGTGCACATCCATCCATCATCCACGTGCGCACTGCAGCAGAAACTACTTAATGTGTGTAAAACAAACACACACGTGTTGAACAGCTGAGTGGGTCTGACTGTTGCAAATCAACCACCCCTCCCAGCAGAAATGGAAATCTCAGCTCGCACTTTCACTTTTTGGTGGTTGCCCCCCCCATCTCCCAAATTAAATATTTCGAAATCAATCAGCAGGATTTATTAGTCAGTCCCTCGCCATGGGATTTGCTCTGGTCTTCTGGGACACATTTGTCATGAAATAGTGTGCTGAAAGCCTGGGCGACTGTGTGAGGGAGAGCAATGTCTTCCTGGAAATGATGAATTTAAGTGTGAATTTCTCGCTGCAAACAAAAACAAAAATTTATCAAAGTTAAAGTCTCCAAGTTCCAAAGTGCAGCTAAGCGAAAGCAACCTCTTTGAGGTATGAATTTCTGAGGAGGA